GGGAGCTGGCTGTTGGGGGCTCACGCCCTCCTGGGCTTCAGACCTGAGAACTGGAAGCTCTGGTTTGGGGCAAACTGGGCCTCCAGGTCTTCTTGGTGAAGAGCAAGATATTGGGATGAGACCCCCGCAGCTCTAGGCGAGGACCCTGACAGTATTTGTGTCTTTGAACCTCAGCAGGATAGAGGAGGGAAGGGCAGCTGTTGCACTGGGTGCTGGAGGGCTTCAGTGAGGTCAGCGGGTAAATTCCAACCTGGAACCCACAATCACGGAGCAAAATGCTTTAGCTCCTTCAAGCCCAGAGTCTAGGTGCAGCCACAGGCCCCTTTCCCTCAATGCAAAGCATCCCGCAGCCCAGGAATACTTTAATATGGGGCCCCTACTAAATGCTTCTGACTACACCGGGAGGCGAGTGGGTACAGCCAGGGGTGCCCTGAGTGGAGGGCGGGCAGGAGTGTGCGCAGCCCCCTCAGAGCCTCAGGGGCCAGTGCGGAGAAGAGCGGCCTTCCTGGACCTGCAACTGGAGCCTTTTCTCTCCCTAGGCGCAGCAGCCGCTGACCTGCAGGGAAGGAAGGCAGCGGGCAGCTCTCTGGGGGCCAAGTCCTGCAGGGCCATCCCTGCCCTCAGGAGAGGAGAGCACGAAATGAAGTGACAGCGCCTGGTTTCCGCGGACACCTGGCAAGGGCTTAATGTATTTGATGATTTCTGATGAGAGTTCTATTTATGTATGTATTTATTTATTCAGAGCTTGTATTTTAATATTTACATGTTATTATTTAAAACTGTGACTGTGTTTCATCAAACACGGCTCAGTCCTGATTGTGATTTAATGTGAAGAGGATAGCGGTGCAAAGTCTCACTAAACTCAGTTAGTGGGGGGCCTCCAGGGTCAGCCACGGTGCTGCATGTGTTGGGGAGTGGGGTCCCAGCAACTTGTGAGGTCACCCTCAGGGTAAGGAATGTGGCTATTTTATACTTTTCTAAGAATGTCAGTTGTTATTTATTGAAATCATCTCATGTTACGTGGTCAGCATTTTTATGTTGAAGCTTCCCTTGGACATGTTATGTCTTTCTGGTAGGGCACACTGCCTTGTTCAACACTCCTTAGGGAATGTCTCTCTGCCTTGCAGAGAGAAGTTACATTGACTGTTATGTTTTTACAGTTGATATGAAAATAAAAGATGTTTTATAACACGCTAAGCTTCTGTTTGATTCTTCTTGGCCTTTTGTTCTTTCTGGGCCTCCAGGTGTGGTGCAGAGAGACTGGGGGTTGTGTCTTCCGCTGGGCACTTCCCTGTGTTTCTTGTAAGCAAAGACTAGTTGATGCTGGAACAAAGTAAACCTCCCCAAAACACCTTGATAACTCTAAATTTTTATGTAATTTTGCTAGTTTTCACAGTGACCAACTTGTTTTTCAAATTTATTTAAATTTATGAATACTTTAATATGGGGCCCCTACTAAATGCTTTTGATAAGTGGAATTTCAAACAAGTGTGCAGTTCTTTTCCCTTTAATGTTTTGGGCAGCAAATTCTGAAAAAGTGGATTCTTCCTCAGAACTAAAAAATATGTTGTATTTTAAATAATAATGATGATGATCTAATGAGGTAAATACATCAGAAAAGTTAAATATATGACAAAGCACAAAGGAAATATTAGGAGATAAATGGATTCAATATATAACATATTTCTTCATTTAATAGAGAAAATATGAGAAAAATTGTAACATAGGCTCGGCGCCGGTGGCTCAAGCGGCTAAGGCGCCAGCCACATACACCTAAGGTGG